TGCCAAATTTTGGATTAGGCAAATAGCATGTTCAAGGCAATTCATTGCCTCTCCTTATCAATGTCTCACTTCTGTAAGATTCTCCGAACGCTGAGCACCTCCCAGGGTAAAGCCCTTTTATTCTGTGCGCCAAGCAAATATCGACATGTCATGAAATGCAAAGTTGAAACATCTCGATAAACAGCCTGTTCAGCCTATATCACAAAATTGTGATGCTTTTACAACCAGAACAAAGGCTAGCGTGGGGGCAAATGCATCTAGCCTCTATTGGCAAACCGGTTGTTTGCCAATAATGAATCAGATTTAAGTGCATTTTGATATCCCATCCCGGCACAAAAAGAAGGGTGAGATATGCACTACAAAATTGTTACATATAAATTACATTTATAATCCAAAATGCCTGATCGTTCAGGTCTAAAATGCTGCCATTTAGTATTGGACAGATGGCAAGGAAAATGGCTTCTTGAATCTTTCAGTATCCCACAAAGAAATCCATGCCCAAAACTTCCACAGAAACCAGGCTTGTAGCAGTGAAGCTTGCAGGCTTTATTGTTTGGGGTGAGAGGGGTGGATCTTTTTTTTTTTTCTGGATCTGTGTGGTAATCCACCAGTGTTACTGCACAGTAACAACTGCACAGTAGTGTTTCATGTAGATGCACCCACTAGCTAGCAAATTCATTTTAGCCATCCTTGTTTCTGTAAAATTGATCCTTTTATGTGAATACCTCCTCACTTTTTTTTTTTTCTTTCCCCAACATACTCTAGCCTTCAAAGTCTGTGGAGACGTTCTTTGATTCCCTTGTGAGGGTGGCAAAGATCCCCAACATTTTCTCCCTGCAGATGTGTGGAGCTGGATTGCCTGTTTCTGGAAGTGGTACCAACGGAGGTAGTCTTGTGGGTATCTGTCAGTCTGAAAGGGAAAATACTCCTTAATCTCTCACTCCCTTTCCATTACTGCCCTAGTCTTTCCAAATTTAACTATTAAACATGTGAAGTCTGTTTTAATTCTGCCCATCTAACTAATTTTAAATATTTTTAAAGTGCCTCTTTATTCTTTCCAGCCATTTTCCATTTGTACTGAAATATGCTTAAGCAATTTTTTTAACAATATTCTTTATAGATTTTTTATTAAAAAAAAACACACAATCAAGTATGTGGTGGTGCTGCTTTTTACATAATGTGTTACAGTTTGATTATGCTGCCCCTCTGATGTTCATGACATAAGGTTCCATTCAATGCAGATCTGGGTGAAATTAATAGGAACGTTTGTGATCAGATAATACTGGATGTAAGTTCCAGATTCTGCCAACTTTGCTGCTTTCAGAATTTTTCCATGGTTACTATTGGCTAAGGAGAAGGCAATAGCCATTTATTTAACCTATGATAAATACCAAATTCTGATCCCATTGTAATCTGAAGGAGTCTTGCCTCCAGTTTCAGCAGGGCCAAGAACTGGACCTAAAGTTTTGTTTACACTGGAATTACTCTGGTCTAAGTATTCCAGATTCATTCATCTTACCTTTTTAAATCTTAATTTCCTAAGGAAAAAAATTCTAATTGAGAATGGATACAACAAAAATAAATTTAGAGGTGGGAAGGTCTAATATAGTTGCAATGAATATAAATGCTACCGGGAGCTAAAATTGACAGCACTGATGTTATCATATTTCTTATGCACCCAAAATGGAATTGTTTTTAGGCTATATTAATTTTGGGTGAACTTGCTAAGTGAATCTTTAATATGAAGGCTTGCTTCTCTTTCCCATTTATGTGCATTGCTTAGGTTCAGTGTTGGTTCTACCAGACCATTCTAATTTTAATTGGGGAAGGGAATGCCAATAACAAAATTGATTTAAAGTCACAGGTGGCATGGGTGCTTAGGACATCCTTGAATCAAACCTGAAACAGGAATGTTACTATTACTGAAGCAAGCGTGCTTTGGCATCTCGATCTTTTAAATATTAACAAAATATGGCCTTTGTAGATTAATGCAACTTTTCTGTTATCAGCAGAATCTGTACAGATGGAGCTAAATTAAAAATGCATTACCTGTATAAACTGTTTGTAAATGTTTTGCTTTCTGTATTTTTAGGGAAAAAAACAAACCTATGTTTTAAGAGATTTAAAATTTGTAACTCTCCCTTTTTCTCTCTCTCCCTCCCTTTCTCTAGGTGATGGGTGGAATTGAACCAAGTCTGTACAAGGGTGATATTTGGTACACACCTATTAAGGAAGAATGGTATTACCAGGTTGAAATTCTCAAACTGGAGGTTGAAGGCCAGAACCTTGACCTGGACTGCAGAGAGGTATTTGCAGTTAAAATAATTGTGTGTCTACAGGGGAGGAGGAGACATTGCATTAGTCAATCAAAATGCTGGAGTTTAGATGTATGCTAGTCCTCTTTACAAGAAACTTGTTTAACTGAGTTTGAAAACAAATTAAACAATACATTGAAAACCGTGCTAAAAAGGAAATAGTTTAAAATACTACTCTGAAAATGGCTAGTTGTGTTAGAGTTTTGCTACATGCTTTTCTCCAAATAAAAAAAATAACCATTTGAGTTTTATCAGCAAAGCTTATCACTTCTGTAATTATTGTCACTACTGGCTTGTTTTTTTTTTTCCCCTGTCCATTGTATAATGGCCCTGGTGTGTTAATCACCCTGCAGAAGACATCTTTCCTACTGTGATAGAGACTGCTAGTTAAAGATGAGCCTAAGACCTACAGGGGAAGGGAAAGGTAATTATATGGTTAGCTAGCTAGATTATTTTTTTTTAATTTGCAGATACATAATTATTATTTTCAGGGGATGAATTATGTGATTAGTGCTCACTTTGTTGTTAGAAAGGGAGCTTTTGTTTTGGAAAAGTTATTCACAAAAGATTATTTCTTTCCTCTCTGGAAATAATTCTCTCCTTTCTTTAAATACTGGGAAATTGTCTAGATCATAGTGCAGTTATGTTCTTGAACCTGCTAGCTGTGGGTTGGGAAAAAGAGAAACACTGAGCTGTCTGTATAGCTGTTGCGCATGGGGAAACTGTTAAGTATTAATCAGTAAAATTAAGAATAGAAGGGTAATTATGGAACACTAAAAGTATACTGTACACGGAGTACAAAGCATTGAGCAATTAAGGTTCTGCATGGTCATGGTGTCTCAGTTTTCACATTCATATGCGTTTTTGTCAGTGTATTCACTGACAAAAACATGTATGCTATGTTATTTCCAAACGTATTTCTTGAGAGAGCCCACCACCCAGTACTGGCAAGAAAGAGCAATTTAAAATATTTCTTTTTTTTAAATGGCTGCTGTGTTTGCTGATGTGTAATGTGTGCTGTGGCCTTAACCTCTGATCATTTTCCCTCCGCTCTGCAGAAGTATTTTTTTTTACAGTCTGCAGCATCTGTGGGACATCCTAGGTAGGGTAACTATACATCCCAGTTTGGCTGAGACAGTCTCAGATTTCAGAGGCTGGTCCCAGCCAGCTGGTGAAAATTAAAATGAGCAGGGGGGTGGAGCAGGGAAGCGAAGCAGCATGAGCTATGGAATAGGAAACCCTAGCAGACAGCAAAGTTGCCCTAAAATAGGTTAGCTTGACTAGTGGCATGACCATTAAAAAGGAAAACAATTGTTAACACTTGTGAAGAACAGTGGGTCATTAATGGGCTATTGATTCCTTTGGGTGCCTGACTAGTAATACCAGAGCTGTACTTTGCCACCCTGCCCCCACCACCTCTTTGTGCAGCAGAACTGCTAACTTAAGAGGTAAGTGTCCTGGATTTCGCATTGTCCCATATGGTCACCTTAATCCTAGGGAGTACCATAGTGAAGAACAGGATAGCCGGTCTGCTCCCTGCGTATTGCACCCCAAAATGCCTGAAGCATGGCATTGGGCACACATCATTAAGCACAACTGAGACAGCATGCCCTGATGCATCTGTTTCAGAGTTTAGTGTGTATAGAGCAAGCATGCCATACATTCCTGCAGTGCCCCCTGGCTCAGGCCAGAGATGGCATAGGCTGAGCATGGTGAATGGATTGGGTGGGTGATAGGCTCTCTGCCTTTCTTTTAGTGGTGCTCAGCAACTTGCAAGATCCAGGCCTACCAAAAGAAACTTAGCATAACCCTCAGTCACTCTTGTTCTAACGAGCTTATGTTCCATCAGAGGTGAAATGGAGCAGCTTTGCACCCTGGGCAGCAACAGTGCACAGGGCAGTAGCGGCTGCAGCACTGCTGGCTGTGGTGGTTTGGCCAGCCCCCAGCTTCAGTGGCAGCTATTTTTCTGGACATGCAGGCACATATGCACATACAGCAGCACCTGAACTTCTGCCTCACTCTCCCCACACCCTCCAGTTATGCTACTGCATTCCTTGCAACTGATAATAATTTAAAGCTAAAGCTTTCCAGTTGTGTTGCTGCTACTGGTCTGGTGCAGCTTGGTCCCTCGCTTCCTTCCCTAACAAGCTTCTATAGTTTCCTTTATTTTTATTGTGCCTTAAACACACAACTGTCAAGTTCATTCTACTCTTGTTGGCTGACATTATAGAAAAGGTAATTTAAAACATGGCAGTGATAGGTGATTGTTTTATGAGTGGCTGTGGTCATCAAAACGTACTGTGAAAAGACATGTCTTTTAAAGTTTGTTCATCTACTGTTTGAAGATTTTTTTTTATAGTGAAGAGAAATGTACCCTGTTGCAGGGTGGGAGCAAATGCTGACCAATTCTGGATTATGCGCGCGCCCCACCATACCCACAAACCCTCCCCCACAAACTCCACAACCACACCCTCCCCCACACAATCAGACACCTCACAAACACTGAACCCACCCATACCCGCACACTCACACCTGTGTGCCTATGGGGGTAGCACCACTTACTAGAGGTGCACCGATAGAGATTTGGGAGCTGATACTGCTAGCCAGTTTTTAAGAAGGCATATTGCCCTGTACCAATCCGATTTCTGTTACAGCTGCGTGCAGCTGGTAAGTCCATTGTGGTGGACGGGGAGTGAGAAGGGAAGGGCCATGATGGGGGCAGATCAAAGCCGGGGTGAGGCGAGGCACAAGATGGAGCCATGGTTTGTCGAGTGTGGGGGGCGCGAATCCTGCTGCTTGCACCCCGGGAGGGGGTGGGTGTGCCTCTGGGACCACATAGGGTGGGGCAGGCTGCAGCTGCGGGCTGAAGCCAGGGCTACGCTGGGCTTTTCTCAGCAGGGGCTGGGCTAGGGGCAGGGGCTATGGAGGGGGCTGCAGCCACCCCAGACTTCGCTGTAGCCCTGCTCCCAGTGCCACCACATGAGTGGTGCAGCCCCATCTCAGTGCTCCATGCTCCACGTCCGTCCATGCACTGGGAAGAGCTGGGGCTGCACTAGGCATGCAGCAGCACTGGGAGCAGGACTACGGTGAAATTTCGGGCAGCTGCATCCCCTTCTGTAGCCCCTGCCCCAAGCCCAGCCCCCACTGAGAAAAGCCTGGCGCAGCTGCCGCCTGCCCTGCCCTGCCCC